GCGCCTCCCCCCCCCGAGGGTGGGGGGGCTGTGTGTCCCCCCACATTTGGGGCAGGCGTGGGACAGAGCTCCGGGGGGGGACCTTGCAGCCTTTTCCACCAGCCCGAGATCCAGGACACCCTGCCTGTGAGCTCCAGGAGCTGGGGATGCCCTGCCTGAGAGCTCAGGATACCTTGGAGCTAAGGGGTGACCTACGTGAGGGCTTGGGGTGCTGGGGGACATTCTGCCTGCGTGCTCAGGGGCACCCTGCCCGTGTACTTGGGTAATCCAGGACACCCTGCCTGTGAGCTCCAGGAGCTGGGGATGCCCTGCCTGAAAGCTCAGGATACCTTGGAGCTAAGGGGTGACCTACGTGAGGGCTTGGGGTGCTGGGGGACATTCTGCCTGCGTGCTCAGGGGCACCCTGCCCGTGTACTTGGGTACACCCTGCCTGTGAGCTCAGGGACAGCCTGCCTGCAAGCTTAGGGAGCTTGGGGATGCCCTGCCTGCAAGCTTGGGGACACCCTGCCTGTGACCTGAAGGAGCTTGGGGATGCCCTTCCTGCTGGCCTGGGGACACTCTGCCTGCATGGCCATGCCTGCCCTGCCCACCAGCACACACCACAGCTCTGGCTATGGGCAGAGCAGGTGTCAGCCCTGGGCTCACTGAGCCCCCAGCCCCCTCTCCAGGCAGTGGTGGTGGCTTCAGCACCCCTGTGGTTTGTTTCCCTCGAGGTCTGAGTGAGTGTGATGTCCCTGCTGAGCTGTGCTGGGGGCTGCTGGGTGGGATGGATGCAATTCTACTCACCTGACCCAAACCCCATGGCACCAGCACTGGTTTCTTTCCTGGGCCAGGGCTCTGGTGGGTGCCACCCACTCCCTCTGCCTCTGTCCTGCCCCATCCCTGGCAGTGCCGGGTGCCAGGCTGGCTCCTGAATCCATAGATTTTTCCCCCTTCCCATATTTCATGGCCACTTCTCAGGTCTCTTCCCAGGAAGAGCAGCTGGGGCAGGTTGCAGGAGGTCTGCTGATGAGGAAGCAGGCTCTTCCTCCTTCCCCGGTATTTAAGAAACCGCTTCCGTGCTGCCCGGTCCTGGGCCTCTCCGTCCCGTTCCCTTTGGGTGGCTGGTGGTCCAACATCCCAGAGCGGTGCCCTGGCCACGTTCCCAGCCCCAGCAGGCATCGCTGTGCTGCGGGACAGGCTCTGCTTGTAGGAAGGGACAGTGTCCCTGAGACCTGCTGAGGTCTGGCGTGCCTGGGGCTGGTGTTC